GTCTCCCGTGGTGGGGGTCCCTCTAAGACACCCCCCACACACACAACTTGCAGCGCAGCGGGTGGGACCTGCCTTGAGATCCCACCTCTGCTCCTAGGAAACGTTTGCGCGGGCCAAGACATGGGTGAAGGAGCTGCAGAGACAAGCCAGCCCCAGCATCGTCATCGCCCTGGCCGGCAACAAGGCCGACCTGGCCAGCAAACGCATGGTGGAGTATGAAGTAAGTGTGGGGGACAAGGCTGAGCCCCCCCCAAAACCCTGCCTTGACCCCCCTCAGTGGGCCCTCACCCTGGTGTCTTCTCGCAGGAGGCTCAGGCCTACGCAGACGACAACAGCCTGTTGTTCATGGAGACGTCGGCCAAGACAGCGATGAATGTGAACGACCTCTTCTTGGCCATCGGTGAGGCTCGGGGGGGGGGAGGTGGGGGGCTCTGTCCTGTCCTACCCCCTCTGGTGAGCCCGGTACCAGCTGTGCCATGGGCTACCGGGGCTCGATACACCATCACCAGGGTGCCCACGGGCCAGCAACAGGCCCTGGTGGCCAAGAAGGCCAAGGGCATCCTGAGGAACATCAAGGAGAACCTCAAGGGAGGTCATCCTGCCCCTGGGGAGGCTCCAGCTGGAGCACTGGGACCAGTTCTGGGCTCCCCAGTTCCAGAAGGACAGGGAACTGCTGGAGAGGGGACAGCAGAGGGCTACAAATATGGTGAGGGGCCTGGAGCATCTCTCTTAGGAGGAAAGGCTGAGGGACTTGGGGCTTTTGAGTCTGGAGAAGAGAAGGCTGAGGGGGGATCTGATCAACACCTATAAATACTTAAAGGGTGGGGGCCAGGAGGATGGGGCCAGTCTTTTTTCAGCAGTGCCCAGTGACAGGACAAGAGGAAATGGGCACAAACTTGAGTATAAGAAGTTCCATCTCAACACGAGGAGGAACTTCTTCCCTGTGAGGGTGGCAGAGCCCTGGCAGAGCCTGCCCAGGGAGGTGGTGGAGTCTCCTTCTCTGGAGACATCCCAAACCCACCTGGACACGTTCCTGTGGGACCTGCTTTGGGCAGGGGGAGGTTGGAGATGATCTCCAGAAGTCCCTTCTGGCCCCATATCATGCTGGGCTTCTTTTTGGGGGGGGGGACGCCGGGCCTTTTTTTTTTGGGGACGCCGGGCCTTTTTTTTTTGGGGAAGCTGCTCCTTTCCCCCTGGGGATGGTTTTGGGGTCTCTACCGTGCTGGGAGGGCTAGCAAAGTGAACTCCCATCCCCTCTTTTTTAATTTTATTTTATTTTTCCCCCCCCCAACTTCCAGCCAAGAAGCTGCCAAAGAGCGAGCCCCAGAGCACGAGCGGCGCGGGCGGCCGGAGCCGAGGCGTGGACCTGCACGAGCAGAGCCAGCAGAACAAGAGCCAGTGCTGTAGCAACTGAAGGAGGGGGGGGTTG